AAAACTTTAGTGTCCCTGAAATGGTTCTTGGCTTTCAGGATACGACTGTTTGGTTGGAAGAAGCTCAAGCCACTTGCTGTTCTGAGCTCTCACCGGCAAACAGTCAATGCCGTGGATTTTTCTGACTCCCTCACGGCTTTCAACTCAGCCCAGCTTCTTGCTGCGGGATCCAAGGACAAGCACATCAGTCTCTGGTCCCTCTACAACCCAAGCTGACCAGGCCCTGACCAGAGTGGTAGTCAAGACCTCCTCAAGACAAGACAGGAATAACTGGGTGATCAATGACAAAGGAATGCTTTTGCTGCAATTTGTTTAAATAGCTTGTGACTCAAAATCAGATTTGAGATTTTGTGTGATCCTGCGATGGTCTTAAGGGGTCTCAACTACAACAGCGGCATAACACAAAATGTGGACCAACCAGTTTGAGATTCCAAGATGCAAAGGAATGTGTTAAGCTATGTGCTGACTGCAGTGTCCACGTGTACACCTGTAAGTCGATGGATTTTGAGCGAGAGCAAAATGCAAGTTGGGATACAATAAGTGTACAGCACTGATAACATGTCACATTTATTTGGAAATGTTACAATATGCTAAGGGTGCAGCAACAGGACAATGGAAGGTCTTATAAATTGAAAGAACTTCATGGCTATTTGGCCTGACAAGTATCCAATTACTGATGGGTAAAATTAAAAAAATCTGAAATATCAGAGGTTGTTATTTGATGTTTAAGTTTATTTCTGTTCCGGAAAATCTGTTGTCACGTGGCTGGGCTGCCATCCTGACACGAGCAATGTTCACAAGCATCACAAGCCTTGTTTGAAGCATCACTGCTCCCCGAGGCCTTCTCGTCTTTCCCCTCCTGGGCAAGCTTCATCTCTCCGAGCCTTTCCACATCCAGGGTGACCTGAATGTGCCTTCCAGCCTTCCGCGGCCCAGACTTTCTAGTGGGTCTCGGCGGGAGGTTGGCCTCGTTGTTAACCGTCCATGGCCCGAGGCTGGTGTTGGAGTAGAAATCCATAGGATAGGTTGACTGCCATTCGATGGACTGAAGAACAACAGAGGCCTGCAGAGTAAACAAACGTTGTTGACAATTTCTAGTTGGCACATCACAAATGATTCAGGTCGCTGCTTCAATAAATACACTTGTTTTCCTGTGTGAGATCTATTCAACAACATTAAGCTTGCCAACTTGAAAATAGGTCAAGAATTGGTACAACCTGCTTGAAGTTTCAATGTTTTTCTCTGAAATGTTAACTTTTGCGACTACTTAATTCTCATGGTTTCAGAAAGCACTAAGTGGCAGTGTCAGAAACTCTTGGGTGCAGCTAAGAGTAATACAGGTGTATATTGCATGGGGCACAGCCACTAGCAAGTGACTTCCTCAGGCACACCTATCACTGCTAGCCGTAGCCACAACTTTGCAGATGCGGCTTACCTTATGCCATTTGCACCTCAGGACCTCTTCTCATTTGTTTTCAGTAATTCGAAAACAAGGACTGAGAATATACTTACCTCATATGGGGACAACAGGGGTTTCTCAAATGCATATCCCCAGTCAATAGACAGACGAGGACAGGCAACCTGAATCCATCTGTGATGGAAAAAATATTACTAGTATTGGTGACATGTACCACTGACGTTAGGCATTAAAGTAAACGTCTTGTAATGACTCATAGCTGTCACCACACCCTTATCTCATTGAAATGAATTGGTGATAAAAATCACCATAAATGGACCGAGTCTATTATCTTGTCTTTGCAGCTAACATGTCTAACATTTGAGTTTTCAGTGACTGTTATCGCTACTTAAGCTCTTAGCAGTCAGAAAAGAAAGTGAGACATGTAAGAAAATGGCCTTTTGGAGCCATTTATTTTGAGAATCTTACGCGTCAACGTCTGGAAGAAGCTTCAGTTTATCCGGAAAGATTTCGGAAAGAAGCACCAAGACGTAGTCTTTTCCAACAGCCTTCAGTCTGGCCTGTAGTTGCTGTCATGAAAACCAGATAATGCCACAGTTTGAAGAATCAGGAATTCAGTGATCCATCCTAGTGAACCTGTGCAAAAAACAGTTGAGGGGTCTGACGCATTTCATTGTGCAAGTGCATTCCACACACGGTGTGTAAACACAATTGCCAACCCTCATCCAAACAGTTCAAAAGAAGATGCACCAACAGAAACAACACAAGAAATTTCTTGAATACCTTGTTAGAGCTCGAGTGATTGTTTATAGCAGTTTAGATACTTTCAGTATAAATAGATCAGACGTGAGAGTGATCTGTAAATTGTACTGTTTGTCTGGAAGTACTTTATAGATCTATTTTAACGTTTAAAAGATGCATCGTACACAAAAATTGTTCGTTCAGATGCAAGGGTGTAGCTTTTTCACCGTGTCATAATTTATTACGATTATCATATACCACGATACATGGTCAAAACATCAATCACGACAGTACTGTTCATTCATCCTACTTATGGGGAAATTTCAGATCCCAAGTCTTTGTGTTGTGTTTTCCATTGCTGTTATACCATGGTAACCTGTAAGATGCCTAGGACTTTGTTATAAAGGCATTTTAGTTCATTAACAGAACCCTACTGACCTCAAGAACTTTGGGGGATCCCTGCCGCCCCAGTGTGCCCAGGATGAGGCCGAATCGCTCGGCCATGCAGGCCTGCCTGATGGCTTCCTGCCTCAACTCATGCATCCTCTTCACCTCGTAATACTCCTTGGAAAACAACTTGCTGTACGGATCATACCTACACAAGGAATCATTACACTTGAGAGCTGCATGACATTCCTCATAATGGTTGGCTATTTCTTACATTCCAGGACCAGATATTGAGTTCATAAGAATATACAGATCAAAGAGGGGTTTTTCTACCATTTTATTTGTTAAGATTAAAGCCCTAATCAAGGAATCTGAAACATTCTGTTATATAATAACTTCACAGCAAAGAGCCATAATAGTTTGGAATCAAGTGTTTTAAGAAAACAATGGCTCAGCATCACTAAATGGAGGCTTGGACAGAAAAGAGACCAAAGTGAGTCTAGGCACCATCGATATGGTATTTTGGCCAATACCAATGAATCATTTTTATTTTAATATTTAAATATTGAGTCTTATTCATTTTAATTTTCAAGGTATTATAACAGGCATGAATTGCGGGTAAACTGTTCTAAGGGTACACCCCTACACTGTAATGGTGTAATCCAATTCACGTTGGTGACGTATTGAGTACATTGCCTACATGGGATGGGATACACACTGCCATGCTTAGGGATATCATCAGCACGTGGTGCTAGTCTACATAAGTTTGGTTTGCAAATAATTCTCAGATTTGGAGGATAAATGTTGTAATATTTTGAGGCAAAGTGTATGCGAATTGAGTGCGAGACTGAGATAGGTGACTGAATTTATTCCTCAAGTGTCGCCGTTTAAGCCGCCTGGAGTATAAGCCACAGGGACATTTTTCACTCAGCCAACTCAGAGAACCAATGTAAGCCATGACTTATCAAACATTACGGTAATGCAACGATCCACTTTGGTATTTTTTTTATAAATTCCGTTCCTCAGTAGCGATATTTTCCATGCATTTTTCAATATCAATGTTTTTGAAGTTTCTCCAAAATCCAATATTTTCGATATATCGATATTATCCAATAATTAACATCGTTGATATTGATATCGATATCAAACCTGTATTGATAATACTGATATATCGACGGTGCTTAAAGGAGTCCTGTCTACAATACGTATGATGTAAAGACCAACCTGTATGCTTGAATTCCTGGGTTGGCAATCATAACAGCTTCTAGGTGAAATCTCCCATCACCTAAATAGCTGTAACATAGAAATAAATTCAGTTTCACTAGTGATACTCATATTTTCCGTTCCTGCTGCACAGGAGTTGACAGTATTTCCACAAATAAATGAAAAAGAAAAGAAATTAAGAAAATTTACCAATTACATGTACTTTTCAGCCATTGAGGCTTGTCTCTACACAAGGAGTAGTTAACTCAAACACTTGAAAGGTTCTATCACGGGTAGCACTTTTTGAAAACACCAGCCATGCCAGCCGATGAGTTCACAAACGAGGCATAGAACAGTATCCCTTAGTAACAACAGGTGACCAACCAACATGTCAGGTGATGTTTACAACTAGGCCTGTGTGTGTACTGATGTCAGTCTTCATTTACATGAGCCAGTGGGGGCCGATGGTCTGCTAAGCACCAAGGCAAAGCACACAAGTATACAAAGTGTGGCATCATCAGTACAGGGGTCTATTGGTCCAAAAAAGAACCAACTGTTGCCTGTAAACGTGGCGTGGAAAAGTGAAGAAAGCAACAGTTTGAGTACAGGCAGTGTGAAGACACCAATCAAGGGTGGCCCATTTTCAGTTAGAACAAAGTGTCACTGTGTTTTGCCTCTTGGAAAATTTCCCGACTACTTCACCGCAATCTTACATGATGTTGTCCACATTGCCCAATCTGGGTGCCGTACATCCAAGGATCTCCCCAGGGGATAATGGTTTACACTGGGGGATTTGAAGACGGTAGTCCTCACTCAGTTGCTCGTAAGCAGACTGCAAAGCAAGAATTAAGCAAGATTTCAGCTTCACATCAGCAGGGAAACGAGCAAATCAAACAAATGTGAGTCAAATTTCAGATCATAAAATCCGAGCCTTTTCATGCTCATGTCAGTAAACACTGTCAACCCCATCACAAGTCATTCCGCAAGACTAGTCATTATATAGCAAAGGGATTTTTTTCTGTCACAGTTAATTTGCATAGCTTATGACCTGGCCTAAGACCAGGTGACTAGTGATAGACTTGGCTGCAATACTGACCCAAACATGGAGAAACAATGCCTTGGGGATTACCTGCAAAGCTGCCACAAATTGAATAGTACTGACAAGAGCGATCGAGGTCCCAGGATTGAAATTGTGCCTGACGGTATCCACAAAATGTGCTGTATCGATCCGGATGTCAACGAAGACGTACAACATGTTGATACCCTCTGTCATACTAATCGGTACTGTTGACAAAGTAATACGGATGACTCTCAATCTAAGGAATACTGATGCCACAACATACTGTTAAAAACAGCAAATTCTGATAGCACAAAAAATGTGAACTCTTTGTCTTTCCCGATTGAAACAAGGACATGATCATAACAAGGGCTTTGGGCTAATCAAAGAGACATTTTTACAATGAATGGACCGTACACACTTCGAATCAACTTTGTGAAATCAGCTATCCCTTCGCATTTATCACTCGAGTAAAAAAACAGGTAGTTTTCCATAATATTTTTCCCTCTGTTTAAACAGCTTCCAAGCTTGCTGTCCTATTTCAACTTCAGTGCATGTTTTTGTCGTATGTCACCATTCAGACTCAATCTTTTCTGGATAAACCTATTCCTTTCCCGTATCAATTGATATCGAGATATCCCAGGTCTAGGAAATAACATTTGACAAGTAGGTGCCTGGGGACTCACCCAGACAACTGTGTCCGTAGTGCACCATCAAATCAGCTCCTAATGCTTTGGCCGTGTAGTCATCCACACAACAGGCACCGTACGTCACATCACCCATAATCAACGTGTCTGCATCTGTAAATCTGCACCCCCCGAAAAAGATTTTTATTCCCGTATTTCATTCAATACATTTTGCTTTGGCACTGCAGAGTTTTGTCATAATTTCATTGACTTAATTAACCCTCCCTGTTTAGATTTATTGAAGAAACTCTCCGATCTCTTCAGGGGAGGGCCACTAACCCTAAACCTCAAGGGTGTTTTGGCTAGACAACGTGCCGGACACATTAGTCCGCATCAAGCAAACAGCCGTCCAGTTAACTTGCCTGCATAGTGCAACAAAATTCAACAGCTTAACTTTCCCAAAGGCCAAATGGCCTCAAAGTCTGTGGTTGCTAGGAACTACCCGCCCAATGTTGGCTTTGCCTCATTAAATCCTGAAGCTGTAAACAATGGGCTCTCTCAACATGATGGACAGTCTATTTGGCTGATGTTGACTGCCTAATGCAGCAAAGTGTACCAGAGTTGTGCACTTTGCTGTGTTTGGCAGGTTATTAGTTAATCCATATAAAGTACAAATTATAGTAAGTCAAATGCATATCTCATATATCAATGCATACAACATCAAAAGTGTTCATTTTTATACAAGTTTTGTGTTGTTAATACTTAAAATCACTGATTCTATAAAAAAAATTAGTTACAACATGATCTCTTTTAAAATACACTCCAGTGACAATACTTGTAGACAGTTTACTGTAAATAGCAATAAACCCCATTTTCATCTAGACACTGGCAAGAATGCAATAGACTGTATGCTCTACCGTACAGCCTTTCACTCATTCCACGTATGCCTCTCTTAAGGTTACAACATAGAATGCAACAATATGGGATGTACGGTGCTTTGGCATCGTCGTTGTTTTGTTTTAATGGTGCTTTCAGCTACTCGGGCTATTTGCGCCAATAACTGTACGTTTATTCATAATCAGCATCACATTACAGAGTTAGGAAGAAGGTCCAGTTTTAGAGGCAAAAGGAAACCGGAGTACCCGGAGAAAACCTGACACTAGACACTAGAAACCAAATGCACTTAAAGCCTGGGCCAAGCCGGGACTCGAACCCGGGCCTCATTGGTGCAAAGCGAGGAAAGAACGGCTACACTAACCCACTCCCTCTGCTTTAGGGTCAGATATGTCCCCAGACTTAAATGTAGCCTGAATGCCATATTTCTGAGGTAGAAACTCACCAGATGCGTAGACTCACCTCTCAACAATATCTGCAAGGGTACAGGCAAACATGAGCAGGCCCTCTGGGAACTGAAGGGCAACTATACAGAAAAAAATACATTATATTTATTGATACCTTATTTAGACAAATGTACTTTGAAACCAAAAAATATATAGGTAGTTATAAATTTAGGTCATATTTTCTCATTTGAAATGTACCTCTCTTGGCTCCTGTTGATCTTATCCGCCATACAGTTTTGGGAATTTCAAAGTTGTAGTTTGATGGGAGCTAAAACAAACAAAAAAACCAGAACTGACATCAAGTCTTGAAGTATTAAATTTTTAAAAATTCTGAATTTGTCTTCACTTTGAAATAAAAATTCATCATGCGTGTGCCATAATTCTCTTTCTCTTCAGCATACAGGAATGGTATTTTTTAAAACTAAAATCGCACCTGTTCAATGGCATTCTTTAAGTCTTGATTATTCAGAATTTCGTCTGGAATTTGATGTGCTACTCTCAAACCTGCAGAAGTTAAGCATAAGGCCAAACACAAATTACCACCTTCAGATTTGCACTGACAAAGTTACTTGTATTACTACTATTATTATTCATTTCTAGCAATTACACCAAAGATTCCTCAAAAGTGTACCAGGCACTGTAGCTTGCAAGCCTGAAGAAACCTGTAGAAAGGAGACAATGAGAAGCAGTTACAGTTTAGAGGTGGGAGGAAAACCCCTGAGAAATGTTCTGGGTAAAACCCACAGAATCAGGTAGGGAATAAAAACCCCTATCCACATGTGGACCGAGCCGGGAATCGAACCCGAATCAGACCACTGAGGTGGAAGGCGAGGAAAGAACCACTATGCCAACCTGACTCCCCAACAACATGCAGTGTTGGAGTCAAGTCCACAACCTTTGAGGACAAGGTCAAGTCCCAAGTCTCCAAGGCCAAGACTGAGTCCCTACCGTTCAAGGTCAAGGCTTTCAAAAATCTGCCTATCAGATGGTGGAACTATATTTTCTTGATCAGAAAGTCTGAGACTTCCTGCAGCAGTGCATGATCAATCTGTCATGCCCCTCATTCATGTCATTGTGCCAATGACATAAATGAATACATGGTGCTGTATCTTTGTGTTCACCATGTTCATAAGACACGCATGGCAAGTACCCACAGAACTCTGGGATTTATTGTGGGAGCACGGCACATGACAAATCCCAGAGTTCTGCCAAGTAAAATCTCTTCTCTGTCATGTCTGTGAATATGCAACCACCTGGCAGACATGGGGCAATTATCCCTCAAGAAGGGGTAGATTTACATATTTGGATTCAATAATGTAACGCAGCATGCAGCCTGCCTTCAAATTCATAAATTCTCCATTCATGCCATGCGCCATTGTCATTGCCAAGTGCAAACTTGGTCCCTTGCACAAGCTCAAACTTGCACAAAGGTCATCGCCTCGCACAAACTTGGCTGCTCAATCTAAGTTTGCGCGGGCAAGTTTAAACTTAAGCACAGGCAAGCGTTGCGTCAATTTTTGCAGTAGAAACTTCATTCGCAGGCAGACTTTTCATGCCAGTGGCTTGTCACCCATTATCAGGCTTAGGTTTTTGACCTCGATTTCACTCGCTTGTTGTGTTTTTTTATGTGTTACAAATGATGGAGACATACCATGCGGGATGAATGAAGTACAATGGGATGTAAATCACAGCATTTCTTCAGCTGGAACAGGCAGTGTGCAGAAGAGCATGTGTCGTGTGCCTACATGCACAGTGGGCGGGGCTTATACTGGATTGGTAGTATTATTGGCACACGAGCAAGGTTGGTTAAACTTTCCACGGATAGAGTTTAACCATGTTAACTGTGTGTGCAAAGTTAACCTTGCAAGGAGGCCCATTATCATGACAATGTCATGGTTGCCATTGCCAGTGTCAATGAGTGAATGACATGTTGAGTTCTACCCCCACAACTGTGCGGTCTGTCATCCGCTGCAGTCATGGGAGTGCAGCGGACGACGGGTCCCATCTGCCATAAGCCTACATTATGTACATGGACTAGGCCTAGGCTTTGTTCTGAAGTTTTCTGTTTACCCAGCGTACATGTATATCAATGGTCTGACGCAATGACGTCACATTACAGGGGCATTTCTGTCTTCCTCTAGCCTTGGCTCAAGTAAACAAGTTTTGTACATTCATTGTAATTACATTAAAATAACAAGGAACAGCATCTGACTCAGCCTTCATCATGTGATCACGCAAGAGGTCTATTCCTCCATGGCTTAAGCACAAAATTTGCCTAAGCATGAAGAAACTTGATTAAAAAACAAAGGTTAGGCTACAAAAAAGTACAAGTACAAGCTCAAACTCTGATTGTCATGCTAACCAAAACTTCCCAAAAGACAGGTAAATACGATCCCAAAACAATATACATCACATGGAGTTTGGCTGGTTACCTGATTTATCAAGCATGGTTTTCTCGCGCTTAAGCAAATTTTGTGCTCAGGGGCCGGGTAGCGCTCCGCGCTAGGCGGTGGTACATGTGATTCTACCTCCATGCACGTACATATGTTGAGGAGCACGTCCGGGCACTGGGCACCTATTCCAAGATACCAAAACAAACTTTTTTGCCATGAATATCAGTAACAAATAGTGAAATATTTACTGAAAAAAGTTAACCTTTTCTTCCAACAATGCGTTTGGGTTGAGAGCTTTTAGCAGAAATAACTACAGTTTTCTCTGCCATAGTCGAAACGTTGCCGGTGAACGAACGGTGCCGGCCTCCGGTCGGACAAAAGTTTGGGTACGGAATCCAGACGTGGTTGGTCCCCCTCATTCAATATTTTTGCATAGCCAATGGCCGGCCCCGACTAGACTGTACACTGTAACAGACTCGTTCTCAAAAGACCGCGATTACCGCAAATCAAGGAAGTTGGGCTCAGACTCTACATACGAGGACATTAAATTGATGATACACAATATCATGTATCCCGAAAAAAATAACCCTAAGTATCTTTAACGTTATTATTAAACAGTGCCAAACGACAATTTCAGGAAGGACATTTTGCCTTCCGTCACCACCGATATCAAACGTACGCTAAACGTGTTTTCTTCAGCGCAGTTACTTGAGGAATTGAGCGGGAGTGTAGTTGTGCAAATCCATTTCCATCGATCCGAAGATTTGTCTATTTGGCAGAAAGTTTTGCTAGGCTTGAGAGCAAGATGTCGATTGGTGTTCCTATCAAGGTTTTGCACGAAGCAGAGGGTCACATTGTAACTTGTGAGACAAATACCGGGGAGGTGTACCGGGGCAAGTTAGTTGAAGCCGAAGACAACATGAACTGCCAAATGACAAACATCACAGTAACGTACAGAGACGGGCGGGTTGCTCAGCTAGAACATGTCTTTATCCGAGGGAGCAAAATCAGATTTCTTATACTGCCAGACATGTTGAAGAATGCACCGATGTTCAAGAAAGCTGGAAACAAGGGAAGCACAGTAGGAAGAGGGAAATCGGCTATTCTACGTGCGCAAGGTATAGCTATAGGCCTAGGCCTAAAAGTTAAAACAAAAATTCTGACCCCGGGAAACGTGGCAAAATGGGGATTCATTACCAGGCTTTAGCACCCTGTTTAGTTGTCCCTGTTATAAGGGAATAAATTCTACTTTTTCGAAATAATTTATTTAAACAAGATGTTGGTGATGTCCTCTTTCATTATCAAAAAGAAAAGGGAACAGGGCTTTCGGTTTTTGAGGGAATTTTGGGGTAAAACGGCAGTATGCATGACTGCTCCGAAGAGCTACGAACGACAAAATTTAATAAGCAAATGTAGTCAGGTTCCTTACCTGGAAAAAAGGCTGGATGGAGTTTAGTTTTGATGAATCAAAAAAGCCTGAGTTGTGTAACAAGACGAAAGACAAAATGGCACAATTCAACTGAGTGGTGGTTTTCTTTTGCCAAACTCTGGTTGAAGCATATATCATGAAAAAATATCGCGACATCCGATATTATCGCGATGACGTCATTTTCCATTCATAAAATAAACAACCGAAATCACTACTGTGTCTCGAGAGCCACCAAAAAAAAAATGTGTAGGCCTATGTATTATTAAATTAAAGCAAGTTTCAACCCGGAAATTATGGACATTAATTATTATATCATATCATGGCCCCAACCTGAAACGGCCATTTCCACACACACATTAACGGTAAAGTTCGCTCAATAAGGCAACCCCCAAAATGGACAGAGCACATATGCGTGTTACTAGACGGGCTACTGGTGTTCAGTTGTCATTCATTTCTCATAAGTCGGCATGTTTCAGTCTGTCCCTTTTCTATAAGACCACAATAAATCATTTGTGTACGTCAGCATTAAAAAAATTGCGCTTCGGTATTGGTTTCCTTCGCTGCGGTTACCAAGAAGCGACATGCCCCACACTGCTCAACTGGTCTGTTTGTTAACAGCACATGGTTCAGTACATCAATACCAGGGACCCCTCTCGGGCTACATGCATGCGCTCTGTCCATTTTCGGGGTTGCCTTATTGAACGAACTCAATCTATGCCCGTGTACATAGGCCGTTTTCCAATACTCGGGTGGTTTTGGAGGATTTGGAGGATTTAGGGTAAATGGCAAAAGTGCATGGTTGATTGCGAAGGATGCCATGCTTGAAGGTTGTGGGTTAGACCTAGTGTTGTTTTTGCTTGGTCATGCATAAATTCAGTCCGATATTTCTTTGGAATCAACCGTACTGCTCAAGACTGCCATTTGCACTGCCTTAACATAATGACCGGAATTGCAGGATTGAGGATTATGAAGGATTGAGGCAGTAGGTACACCTCCAAGTAACATTTGCAAGAAATTTTGGAGGAGTTCGGAGGATTGAGGAGGGCCCTAGCAAAAAGGGCCAAGGGGGTTAGGGTTGAAGGAACAGGGTGCTAATGGTAATGAACCCCGCAAAATGTTGCTTAGGCCTGTTATGGATCCAATATGATCCACGCTTTACAGTAACTTTGCCCCATTTCCATGACGCCCTAACCACTTCGCGACATCGCCCCATCTCCACATCGCCCCATCTCCACTTCGGCTCATTCCCACTTCGCCCAATACCCACTTCGCCCCATTTCCACTTTGCCCCATTTCCACTTTGCCCCATCCGTGGTCCTCTTCAAAAAATGGTCGAGAGAGGAGTTCCACAATTTCCACAAATGACATGGAGTTATATGTGTATATAGAAAATTCTACGGCATTTGCTAAATTGATGTCAACTGCATTGTCCATGGTGAATTAATACATATGGTTGAACTACATGCAGCATAGCGTTTATTTCTCAACCTCTTCAAGTTTATTTCAAAGCGATACACAATTCTGTAGACGTCATTCTAATAATTGTCAATGTATCCAGACAGCTGTGCCCCGGCGATCGGATTAACCTCGGCATGCCGTGGCAGGAAATTTTGTGGAAACATGCTCGCTTCAAGTATGAGCAAAATAACCTAAAATTAAACTCATGAACACAGAAAACACACGCATAGACAAGATACTAAGTTCTGTGAATTAACTTAAAGAATTCTTGCAACATCATTTTTTTTTTATGCGTGAGGTCACATGTACGGTCGCCGCAACATGAATAGACTGTTTGCCACACTCCATCACGCTTTGCGTCAGGAACCAGCGTTTTGTGCACGTGTTTTTACAACAGTGACAGCAAAACACGAAGAGAACTCGTGAAATTAGCAGAAGTTGCTTTTCAGATTTTGCAAATGGAAATGGAAAAACATGTAAACGCAAGCGTTTTAAAGAGAAAAATGTTGTTCTGAGGTGTTTGTGAAGATAGAGAAGACAACAGGATTATTTATTTGTCTTTCTTATATTTATTAAATTTGTTTTTTCTAACTTGCCAATAGAAATGTTAGGGTTTCATTGAAAAGTTTGGGTCGGTCGGGAAATCTGAAGCACTGTTTTGGCAATTTGGATTCTCTGACCGTTATTTGGGTACTCAAACGTCGATGTGTTTATTTGTTGCATCTAGGCCTATGCCTCTGTTACTTAAGAACAGAATGAACGATAATCTGTGGGGCGAAGTAGGAATAGGGCAAAGTGGAAATGGGGCAAAGTGACCGACACCCAGATCCCTCACTTCATCAGTGTTCAGATCATCAGATGATTGTCTGATCTTGCATGTCTGATTGTTCTCCTGTCTAAGCCTGCTGCCTTCTTGCAGGAATTGCACTTGCAATAAAAATAATGCTTGATAGGCCTATTTCAGTAATGATAATGTGATACAGTGTAGGTTACATGTTGAACGTGTCTAGCTGGTATGCATGACGATCTCTGTCAGTGCATTATTAGTTGATCCTGTATGAAATTGCTAACTTTACTACAAGCAATTACGCAAAGTGTTTGTTCCATAAGGGCGTAATTTGATTTTAAAAATAGGGTATGGAATTTGGTAGGCTTTTTTTAAGCAAAGCACTGCTCATTGTGTTATGCCTTTTCTTGGAATATTGGTCAGGCGCTGGTGGGTGTAAATTGGCAAGATTGTTTTATGTGGCCTACCCTTCCGACAGTGTCCAATTAAGTT